ATAATACCAATAATATAACCTTCTGGAAAATTATGGACACAGTAAAAGTACCAATGGTTTCAGGGGGTTAGGAGGAAGTGAGGTATGAATAGGCAGAGTACAGAGGACTTTTTTAAAAAATATATTTTATTGATTTTTTACAGAGAGGAAGGGAGAGGGATAGAGAGTTAGAAACATCAATGAGAGACATCGACCAGCTGCCTCCTGCACACTCCCTACTGGGGATGTGCTCGCAACCAAGGTATATGCCCTTGACCAGAACCGAACCTGGGACCTTTCAGTCCGCAGGCCGACGCTCCACTGAGGGTAGGTTAGGGCAGTACAGAGGACTTTTAAGGCAGTGAAACTATTCTGTATACTATAATGGTCAATACCTGTTATTTACATTTGTCAAAACCTATAGAATATACACCACCAAGAGTGAACCCTAGTGTAAATTATGGATTTTAGGTGTTAATGATGTTTCAATGTAAGTTCATCGATTGTTAACAAATTTACCACTGCAGTGCAGGATGTCAATAGTGTGTAGGGACAGGGAATGAGTAGATGGGCACTGTCTGTACTTTCTGTTCAATTTTATTTTATTACTTTTTTCATCTCCATTTATCCCCCCCATACCCTCTTCTACCTCCCTCCCTCCCACCCTGCTCAATTTTTATGTGAACCTACAACTGCTCCAAAAAAGTTTATTAATTTAAACAAAGAAGAAAAAATGTTAAGAATACCAATAACAATATGCTTATACTTGAAAATGTAAACAAAATAAATTATTTCCTAGCGTGGGAGAATAACTAAAAAATATGATCTCAAGAAGAAAGTGTGCCTTTCTCCCCTTACCTCCTGGAAAGGGCCATTTTCCCAGGCAACCTGCCCACAGCGCCGGCACTAGAAAGTAGCCAGACCAGGGCCAAAGTTTCAGGAAATCAACACACACAGGCCTCACCCTTAACATACTGCACTCAGGATTTATCTTCACTCACGAACAAAAAGCATTTATACTTATTCTTTGTGACCCCAAGGACCAGAACTAGGACGTAGGAAGCCGATTTCAAACTCATGATAAGGGAAAACGTTAAAATAATGTGTCAGACTATAGTTAAGGGAGAAAAAAATAGCTTACTATAAACATAGAAGTGATAGAACGCATTAATTTGTTGAACAAGACCTCCTTTGATAAAACGGTAAGACGCAACCGATATCTGCTAATAACGTAGAAAATCTAAGGCGATTTTTTCCATCATTACCAATGGAACTCTACTCAGAAACAGGACTCTTCAGACCAGCCCTAGAGCTGACAGTGCCTTCCGAACTCGGAGGTTCGGCCAGAAACACTGCAGCCCCAGTGAAGAACCTCAGGAAACTACTGCAGCAATTCTCAGCAGCCTGCAGGAGGAGGAAACTTCAACTCCCATCAGACAATGCGAACCGAGGTGGGCGGGCACTCAGAGCGCATGCGCGGCTCTGACCAATAACGACTGTCGTTACAGCGAACAGTTTGGCCGCGTTTGTAAAAGACCGCGGCAGGCGAAGAGAGAGGAGGTGAGGGCGGTCATCAGCTGGGGGCCTTGGGGCCGCGAGGTGGGGGGTGGGGGCACAGGGCAGGTAAGGGGGCCGCGTGGACAGAAGGCGGGGGCGGCGGTGGAACGGGTGTAGAGCCTAGAATCCCAACGGAGAACGTGTCCAAAGAGCAGGGTGCGAGCCCGGTGTTGCTTCTGCTTGGGCCGACTTAGAACCGGAAGTGAGCCCTCGTGGGGGGGAGGATGCCGGGAAACTGGCCCTGGGTGTTGCCGTGGGGGGCGGGCTGGGTCCCGGAATCCAGGAGGGAGGTACAGTCTAGGACGCCCCTTCCCAGATACCACTCTGGGTTTCTCCCTGGGCCTTTCTGCGGCCTTCCACGCCGCGCAGGGCTCATGGAAGCCCCTCGGACCCTGAGTCGGGAGTTCTGGCTTCTGGGCCTGCCCCTTCCTCTCATTTGTGTTTCGTCAGGGAATCCACCAGATTCCAGAATCACGTTAGGCTCTCGGATGGCTGGCTGTGAGACGTTCATCACAGCATTACTGTCTCCGAGTCAGTGTCTTCCTCTCAAGATGAGTGCGTTAGTACCTGCTTCACAGGATTATGGTGTTGATGAAAGAAACATCCACATCTGGAAGGATTTGTATGGGTTTATTGGAGCCAGTTTCCAGGAAGCAGAATCTCAACGGGTTGAGAGAATGCTCCAGAGAATGGCAGTTTTGCACTTTATTTTATTATACATGAGCATCAAAGGGGAAGATGTAAGGGGGATACATGAAATTCATTGTTGAAAGATTAGCGAGGTGGTAGAAAGCAAAGCTGGGAAATCTCTGGGATTGGATAAATAAATAGACAACCTACTACTTTTACACACGTCTGTACCGGATAGTTAACAGTTAACATGATAATGGTAACAATGAGAGGCTCTGGGGTCTCCTGCTCTGGTGGGAGAATTATGCCCCGAGGGGTTTGTGAAAAGGAAATTGACCTGACATTTTAAAAGTATGTTATTGGTAGATGCAAAAAAACAAAAACACACACAAAAACTCACAATATGCTCAGTTAAGGTAAAGATTGACCTTTTGTCGAGGAAGATACTGGCCCTAGCTGGTTTGGCTCAATGGATAGAGCATCCACCTGCGGACTGAAGGGTCCAGGGTTTGATCCCCGTCAAGGGCACATGCCTGGGTTGTGGGTTCGATCCCCAGTAGGGGGCGTGCAAGAGGCAGCCGATCAGTGATTCTCATCATTGATGTCTCTCTGTCCTTCTCCCTTCTTCTCTGAAATCAATAAAAATACATTCTTTTTTAAAAAAGGAAGATACTGGCCTAGGACATGATTACAGCCATGACTCACTTTTAGTTAGGAATTTCAAATTTCAGACCATCCTATGTGGTTACTGTAGGTGTCTGAGTTTGTAAGGCCTGCGGCCGCCCCTGACCCTATCAGCTTAATGTGTGGCCCCTTTTTCATCCACAGTGGTGAGAAATACATGAGTAAAATGCATGGGAAGGGCTACTTGTACTTAGTAAACATTAGTAAGTTTTATGTTTTACTCACAGTGATCATTAGTTCTCTTCACTTAGTGTGCTTCACAAACATTAAATAGCATCCACCAAGAGGGATAGCTCTACAGCCAAATAGTAATTGAATGGCAACCCGCCTTCTAGGGAGCATTTATGGGTTAGCTCTTCCAGCACTGCTCCCTTTACACCCTCTTGCTGAGACGCCCTTTTATAGGCAGGATTCAAAATGCAGGTTTTTTACAAGCTGTGTTCACTTGTTTGTATATGCTTTCAGTATAGAATCTGTAATAAGTGATACTAGTACATGTTTAAAATCCAAATATTAGAAAACGCTGAGGCGGGGGGTGGGGGGGTAAGAGATCAATCGAAGGATTTGTATGCATGCATATAAGCATAACCAATGGACATAAGACACTGGGGGGTAGGGGAGGCCGGGGCATTGTTAAGGGCGGGAAAAAAATGAGACATATGTAATACTCTTTGTAATACTTTAAGCAATAAAACAATTAAAAAAAAATAAAGTATTAAACGCCAAAAAAAAAGAAAACGGTGAGATGTAACGCTCCCTTCTGTTACCGGATAGGGGGCCTGGCCCTGAGCGTGTCTGCCAAGGCCAGCCAGTAGTGTGTATTCTTGACTTTGTGTAGGAAAGATTTCACAGGACGAGTCCCGGAGACAGTGAAACAAGGAAGGGCTTAGCATAGAAGAAGTAGCAGGAGAGCCTAGCTTGGGCTGCCTTAGCTCACTGGGAAGTCAGAGAAAAGGGTCTTGGAGACAGGTTCAGGGGGTTAGCCCTGGCAAGCTGAGCTGTTGCTGCCCATTGCTCCCTTGGTGCAAATCTGAGTTTAGGAGATGCACACCTGTGGGGGAAGCAGAGGGGGAAGGGAATAGCACAGGCAAAGTGATTACCTTCATAGCCTTAGCTGACACCTCCATCACATCACATCATTGCCATTTCTTTTTTGTGTAGACATTTAAGATCTCAGCAACTTTCAAGTATGTAATACAATCTTATTAACTAATCACCATGATGTATATTAGATCCCCAGAACTTAATCATAACTGGAAGTTTTTACCCTTTGACCGATATTTCCCAATTTTTCCCACTCCTCAGCCTCTGGAAACCACCATTCCATTCTCTCTTTCTATGAGTTTGGCATTTTTAGATTTTATATAGAAGTGATATACAGTATTTATCCTTCTCTGTCCACATTGTCTTAATTTGCTTTGTAGTAAGTTTTGAAATCAGGAAGTGTGAGTCCTACTTTATTCTTCTTTCTCAAGATTATTCTGGCTCTTCCAGATCCCTTGTATTTTCATATGAATTTTAGGATCATGTTGTTAATTTCTGGGGGCAAGTGGGGGTATCTGTGATTTTGACAGGGATTACATGGTATCTGTAGATCAGTTTGGGGAGTAGTGTCATCTTAACAATATTAAGTCTTCTGGTCCATAAACATGGGATGTCTTTCCATTTTTTTTAGGTCTTTAATTTCCTTCAACGATGTTTTGTAGTTTTTAGTGTACAAGTCTTGCACTGCTTTTGTTGCTCATTTTGTTTTCATCTTTGGACTTTGCTTATAGTAATTTTTGACATGCAGAAAATTTTCATTTTTATGTAATCAAATATCAGTTTTAGTTTTAAAATGGATAAAATATTTAGGGTTTTCTTAGATAAAATATTTGAATAGATTTCCCCCCAGTGAGATAGACACATGGTTAAATTAGCATGTGAAACATTAGTGAGATGCCACTTCAACATACTATAATCAAATGGCTATGAGAAGACAATAACATGTATTGATTGGCCAGGAAGTGGAGAAACAGGAACTCTAATATGTTGGCTGTGTGAATGTAAAATGATACAGCCAGTTTGGTAGTTTCTTAAAATGTTAAACAGAAACTTATATGATCCAGCAATTCCATTTCTAGGTATCTATCCAAGAGAAATGAAGTCATTTGTCTTCACAAAGACTTGCATGTTTATTTTCTCAGCAGTAGTCTTCATATTAGTAAAAAACTGGAAACAATCCAAATATCTGTCAGCTGGTGAATGGATAAACAAAATGATATATCTATATCATGCACTACTATTCAGCAATATAAAGGAATGAAATATGGATACATGCTACAATGTAGTGGAATCCTGAAAACATATTTAGTGAAAGAAGCCAGACTTAAAAAAGCCACATATTCTATGATTCCTTCTAAATGAAATGTTTAGAAGAGGTAAATCTATAGAGACAGCAGATTAGTGATTTCCTGGGGGTGGGAATCATTACTGCAAATAGCAAGAGGGATCTTTTCAGGGAGTGTTCTAAGACTGGATTGTAGTGAAGAGTGTCGAATCTATAAATTTCATAAATATCATTGAATTCTACACTTAAATGGGTGAATTTTATGATATGTAAAATATACCTCAATAAAGAGGTGTTTTTGCCCTAGCTGGTTTAGCTCAGTGGATAGAGCTTTGGACTAAAGGGTTCCGGGTTTGATTCCAGTCAAGGGCACATGCCCGGGTTGCGGGCTCAATCCCCAGTGTCGGGCCGGCCCTGGGCGGCTGGGGGACTGAGGGGACTGGGGGACTCCAGAGGCAGGCGTGCCCCAGCAAGGCTGAGGGGACTGGGCGCCGCCAACTTGTGGCTGTGGGCGCCACCATCTTTGAGGGCGTGATAGTCAATTAGCATATTCCCTCCTTATTGGCTCTGGGTGCCGCCATCATTGAATGGTGTGAGGGTCAATTAGCATATTCCCTCTTTATTAGATAGGATACCAATGCCATAACTACTATCCATTTGAAATTAAAATTCTCATTAGTAAATGCATATAGTGATAATTTAGATTAAAAACTATTTTCTTTCTTCTTTGTGTCAAAGAAAATGATGAAAATTTTTAGAAAACCTTCTACCTGATACAGTTGACCTGTTTATTTACTGACCTTCCAAAAACATTTGTTCCTGGGATGTGTAAGTTCTTAATTAGGTTTGGTTTAGGTGTTCTAGACAACTCCCTGTGTAGTGCCATTCACACTATTTTCTTGCAATTGGAAGTACAAAGCAATCATTTCCATAACAATTTCTGTCAAATATTTCTCAAATATTTGTGAAAGACTTAGGTTCCTATTCTGAAGGAAAGAATCATTCTGTCTTTGCATAACTTTAGTATTTTTTCTTGTTTTATTTATAGACTGCCAAGGTCTCCACATAAGGCAGAGGGAATCTTCTTTGTGAAACACTGGGCAGGAGGATGCCGCATGTCTGCATTGTTATACTGTGGAGTTCAAACTTCAGAAGACTTTGGGTTAAGCAGTAACATTTACTCTGTAAATGATTATGTCTTCGCTTATCCTCTATGACTATCACAAACTAATGAAACACCTTTTTAGGTCTTATGAATTTAGGTCACACTGTTTTCCGGATGCTCTGGCAGCTGAAACCGGTAAGATTGGACTGGGTGTTGTGTGGAACAGTGGAAGGGAAAGAACTAACCTTTTCCATTTTCCAGTCCTTGCTTAAGTTAAATATCTGTGCATGTACAGATTAGGTTAACTCAGCCGTGGGCAAACTACGGCCTGCGGGCCGGATCCCGCCCGTTTGAAATGAATAAAACTAAAAAAAAAAAAAACCATACCCTTTTATGTAATGATGTTTACTTTGAATTTATATTAGTTCACACAAACACTCCATCCATGCTTTTGTTCCGGCCCTCCGGTCCAGTTTAAGAACCCATTGTGGCCCTCGAGTCAAAAAGTTTGCCCACCCCTGGGTTAACTAATCTAGGTTGTTTTATAAAACAGGACTGAACCTAAAGAAATGCTTTAGTTATTACATTTGGTTTTTAAAACTATATAGAGATCTCCACTTTTATTTCGTTTGAGGGTTTATTTATTTTAAATATATTTTTATTTCAGAGAGGAGTGAAGAGGGAGAGAGAGATAGAAACATCAATGATGAGAGAGAATCATTGATCGGCTGCCTCCTGCATGCCCCCTACTGGGGTTCAAACCTGCAACCCACACATGTGCCCTGGACTGGAATCGAACCCAGGACCTTTCAGTCCGAAGGCCAATGCTCTATCCACTCAGCCAAACCAGCTAGGTCTGTTTGAGGGTTTAAATTGATGTTGTGTTTGAGGGTACAATTTGAAAATAGTGGATAGCTTCTTTTTTTTGGTAAGAGAACATTTACTTGGTAAATAACAGAGATGGAAGAAGTAATTCCTAGAAAAAATGAACTTAGGAAGCAAGTTATAGAGGTAACGGATGAAGTAAAGGATGGGCCCTTGGAGCTTGAGGGTGAGGAAGCTAATGGTAACCTGTCTGGGGCAGGGAGGAAGTGGGGGAAAGGAAAGGGGGAGGGTAGAGGGAAAGATAAAGGCCCTGGTGTATTCCAGGGAAGGAGAGCACCTGGATAGCTTCTTTATGTTTCACTTTCTGTATTAAATATCGTAAGTGATTTTAACTCTGTGTGTGTGTGTATGTATACTCATGCTGATGGGCTTATTGCTTTTCTAGGGGCCTATGAAAAATGGAACCAAACTCTCTGAGGACTAAAGTCCCAGCTTTCTTATCTGATTTGGGGAAGGCCACATTGAGGGGAATAAGAAAGTGTCCCCGATGTGGCACATACAATGGAACCCGGGGACTGAGCTGTAAAAACAAGACATGTGGAACCATATTCCGCTATGGTGCACGGAAGCAGCCGAGTGTTGAAGCTGTCAAAATCATAACAGGCTCTGACCTACAGGTCTACTCAGTGCGGCAAAGAGACCGGGGCCCCGACTACAGATGCTTTGTAGAGCTAGGTGTTTCAGAGACGACAATCCAAACAGTAGATGGGACGATCATCACTCAGCTGAGCTCTGGACGATGTTATGTCCCCTCCTGCCTGAAAGCTGCCACCCAGGGTGTTGTGGAAAACCAGTGCCAGCACATCAAGTTGGCAATAAACTGTCAGGCAGAGGCCACCCCTCTGACTCTAAAGAGCTCCGTCCTGAATGCAATGCAGGCCTCCTCTGAAACCAAGCAGACCATCTGGCAGTTGGCCACAGAGCCCACGGGTCCGCTCGTACAGAGAATTACTAAAAACATTTTGGTGGTGAAATGCAAGGCGAGCCAGAAGCATAGTTTGGGGTACTTGCATACGTCCTTTGTGCAGAAAATCAGTGCCAAAAGCTTGCCTGAACGCCGTTTCTTCTGTTCCTGCCAGACTCTGAAGTCGCACAAGTCGAATGCCTCCAAGGATGAGGCAGCACAGAGATGCATTCATTTCTTTGCTTGCATCTGTGCCTTTGCCAGTGATGAGACATTGGCTCAGGAATTCTCAGACTTTCTAAATTTTGATTCCAGCGGTAGGTGGTATGGTGACACATTCTGTTTTTCTAAAATGACAATGAAAGTGTTCCACTAATGGCATTTGGAGATTGTCCTAGTGACCTTCAGAAGCAGTTGCTAGATAATTCAAATGAAAAGCATTCCTTCTTTTAATCTCAGTCATCACTTGCATAAAGATTGGTTGGTTGGTTGAAATTAATGATCAAGAAACTTGAACATTTTCATTGAGACAATGAATCTAGTAAAATCAGCTTTGCTTTGATTTTTTTTACTCTTCCACAGATACCTTATTTAATAAAAACAGAACAAAAAATTCCCTTTTATTTTGGCTTGTTTGCTTTTTTATTGTCTTTGAAGATGGAGAAAACAAGTACCTGGCTCAAAAGAAAACCTTTAAAGTTTCTAAATCAAGTCTTTTGTTGTTGTTAACATATTTTTATTGATTATTTTTTTTAAGAGAGAGAGGAAGTGAGAGAGAGAAACATTAATGTGAGAGAGATACATCTATTGGTTGCCTCCTGTGCTTCCTGACCAGGGATCAAACCAGCTACCTTCATGTGCATGGGACGACACTCCAACCAACTCAACCACCCCAGCCAGGGCTCTCTTCATTTCTTTTTTTTTTTTTAATATATTTTATTGATTTTTTACAGAGAGGAAGGGAGAGGGATAGAGAGTGAGAAACATCGATGAGAGAGAAACATCAATCAGCTGCCTCCTGCACACCCCCAACTGGGGATGTGCCCGCAACCAAGGTACATGCCCTTGACCGGAATCGAACCTGGGACCCTTCAGTCCGCAGGCAGACGCTCTATCCATTGAGCCAAACCAGTTAGGGCTCTTTTCATTTCTTAATAATCTTTAGTTGGTAGCAGCTCCCAACTTTTTAGTTTTATATTTCTCTGTAAAGTCTCCTATCAAGTTAATGTTGTATGAACAAAATCATGTTTTGGGCTGCCCTTTAAAAGAACTTGTTTTTATTGCAGGTCCACAATCTGTTTTTTAAATATATTGGGGTGACATTGCTTAATAACATTGTATAAGTTTCAAATATACAATTTTATAATAACATCATCGGTATTTTGCATTGTGTGCTCACACCCTTAGTCTCCCAAATATAGGGTGTTCCCCAAAAATGTATACACCTTTAATGGCTGTTAGCTCAATTGATGTTTCTTTCTTTTCAGATTTAACCTATTGGAATTAATAATTATTCAAAGTGTATACATTTTTTGGGACACCCTGTATTTGACTCCTTTTACCTTCTTCATCCTCCTCCTACCCCTTTACCCTCTGTTAACCTTCAAACTGTTGTCTGTGTCTATGAATTTGTTTTGTTTGTTTGTTGCTTTTTGTTTTATATTCCACATATGAGTGAAATCATATGCTTTTTGTTCTTTTCCATCTTACTTATTTTGTTAACACGATATTCTCAAGATCCATCCATGTTGTTGCAAATGTCAGTATTTTAATCTTTCTTATGGCTGAGTAGTATTCCATTGTACATATGTACCGTATCATCTTTATCCAATCATCCATTGAAGGACGCTTATGTTGTTTCATGTCTTGGCTACCATGAATAATGCTGCAATGAACATACGGGTACATATATCTTTATGAATAACTGTTTTTAAATTATTTGGGTAGGTACCCAGAAGAAGGCTTGCTGGGTCAGATGGTAGCTCTATTAATTTCTTGAGGAACCTATATACTGTTTTCCACTGTGACTGTGTCAGTTTTCATTCTCACCAGCAGTGTATGAGGGTTCCTTTTTCTCCACATGCTCTCCAATACTTGTTATTTCTTGTCTTATTGATAACAGCCATTCCAACAGGTGTGAGGTGACATGTCATTATCATTTTGATTTGCACTTCAAAGGAACTTCTTTAATGTAGGCAATCACTCCATTGTTTGGGGATTTGGATTTTTATAAGTTAATTTTTCTCTAAGTAGAGACCCATACTTCCTCCTGGGTAGTATTAATAATTCAGAAATATGTTATATTTTAGGTCTTAAAGAGATTATTGTGCCCCAGTTGGACTGCCATTCAGAATCAACAGTATCAGCTTGTGAGTCTACTCCATCAAAGGCAAAGAAGAGGAAAAAGGATGAAGTATCTGGTAAGAAGCTATTTGGTTTGTTTATAGGATGGTTTTATCTTTAGAGATTGTTTTATGTGTTTCACTGGATTTCAGCAATGATAAGAATCAGTTTTTATGTGTTTCTTTTCCTGAAAAAATTATACCATCCAGTGATAATTCTTTGTCCAGTTAAGCTAAGAGTTGGTTTTACTGATTAAATATAAGATCAAACCAAACTCAGCTCTTATTATTGAATATGTTTGTTCATCCCTTAAACATTCAGACTAGTCTTAAACCTTAAACTGCCTTTGGACAGTGTTATATAAGGTTTTTATCCATAGAATGTTTTTAAAAACTTGTGACAATAATTCATTATCTTTTCTACATTAACATAAGATATAGTTTGTAACTTGCAAATTACAAGTAATAATACCACTTGTAAGGGTCCTCAGTTAAGGACCCTTACAAATCAATATGAAACTGCTGAAGTACCCTAGTAGATAAGTGTCAAAAGACATAGACTTTAAATAAAGAGAAAAATTTACCTAGTCCACAAATGTGGACAAAACTCCAAATGTGAACAGAGAAATACAAAAGTTTTAGAAATACAAAAGTTAAAATAAGATACTTTTTGCTACCAAATTAGCAAAGAATTTTAAAATTATGAGACAACTGGTAAAGGAGGTGAAGTTCAGGCTCTCTGGCATGGCTTGTGCAATGTAAATTGCCATGATTATCTGTTAAGAACCTGAAAAATACTACTACTCATAGGGATAATTGCTAAAGGTGGGTCAGGTGATTATGCACAGGAGTTTTTAGTGCTGGGAAGTTGGAGAAAGGTAGAGAAACAAAGTGACATGATCACTTTCATGTTGTAAGAGGTATTTCTGGCAGCAGTGTGTAGCAGAGATTGTTGTTAAATATTTACTTATTGGTCTTTCCCAGGAAATCTTGAAATTCAAACAGTAAAGTTATTTCCCTTTGATGCAGTAGTTCACTTCTAAATAATCATTTTTAAGGAAATAATCCTTGGTACAGGAAAAGCATTTTATCCAGAAATGTTCATTTTATCGTTATCTATATATATAAAAGCCTAAGTGACCGTTAGGAACGGATGACCGCTGGTTGCTATGACACTCACTGACCACCAAGGGTAGACGCTCAACACAGGAGCTGCCCCCTGCTGGTCAGTGCGCTCCCACAGCCAACCTCCCTGGTCTGGCTAAACTCCTGCGTCCCTCCCCTCCAGCTGGCCTTGTCAAGACCCGATCGGCCCCGATTGCCGGCCAGGCCGAGGGACCCCACCCATACAGGCCTCTAGTTTATAATATTAAAAAATTAGAAACAATTAAGCCCACCACTGGGGATAGTTAAATGAACCATGATAAAACCACTTGCTAGAATATCAGGCAACCACTAAAAATGATTACATAGAATTTGGAGACATTTTCAGGTCACTCAGGTAGCCAGACAAAGTACAGAATGCTCAAACTTGACTTTCAGATAAACAATGAAAAAAATTTTAATATAATTATCTCCCATGCAAAATTGGGGCATACTTATGTTAAAAATTCATTTATTTGAAATTTTATTTATTTATTTTTTGGCTAAATCTAGCAGTCCTGGTAAAATCACAGCTACTTAAAATCACAAAAACCAGCAAAATAATCTATTCATAGGAGGAAAAAAAAGGAAGATAGTTCACCAGAAAATCAATAGTAATTGTCTAAGAGGTGGAAACAATGGGTGAAATTTTTTTTTCTATTTCACTTCTGGTTTTCACCACTTCCTAGATTTTCAGAAATTTAAAATATCTACACTAATAAAAGACAAAGATGCTTGTCCAGTACCTTCGCTATGCTCATCAGACAATCAGAAGAGTATGCAAATTAACCCAACAAAGATGGCCGTTAAATTTGCATACTGCAGGCAGATCTCACTGCGCCACCCCACCTGGGAGATCCCAAGCTGCTGCCCGCCCCAGCGTGGGATCTGGGCCTGCTGTGTGCGACCTGGTGAGACAGAGCAGGCACCACGAGATCGGGCGTGCCATCTGCCACCAGGGGAGGGGCCTAAGCCAGCAGGTGGTTATCTCCCGAGGGGTCCCAGACTGTGAGAGGGCACAGGTTGGGCTGAGGGACTCCCCCGCTGCCAGTGCACAAATTTTTGTGCACCAGGCTTCTAGTTATATATAAAGGCTAATCCTAAGTTAGAAATTATCAAAGCTAACTTAGAAATTATCAAAGACTTTTTATGTTTACACTCTTTAGAAATGAATATAGAATCTATATTCTATAGGCATGTTATTAAACACTGTAACAATTTATGGTTTAGGTGCACAGACGAACAGTTCACTGTTGCCTCAGGATGCACTGAGCAGTAATCTAAGGAAAAGTGGCCTGAAAAAGCCTGTGGTTGCTTCTTCATTAAAAAGGCAGGGTAAGTTTCCCTGTCCCAGAATAAGCTAAAAAGGTGGAAAAGCATCCAAAAGAAGGTAAAAGCAATAAATCCAAAGAAATATTGCATGGTGTCCCCAAAGGAATGTTAAGATAAACGCTAGTAGGCACTAAGACTGAAGTCTGTCCTGTCCCATGGTTCTCAAATCTTGCTCAAAACCAAATTGTAGCCCAGCCAGTGCTGCTCAGTGGTTAAGCATGGAACTATGAACCAGGATACAGATTGATTGTTGGTCAGGGCACATGTCTGGATTGGGGGCTTGATCCCTAATAGGGGGTGTGCAGGAGGCAGCCGATCATTGATTCTTTCTCATCATTGATGTTTCTGTCTCTCTCTCCCTCTCTGAAATCAATAAAAATAAATGAAAAAACAACAACAAATTGTATTGTTTAAGTAACAAATCCAACAAAAATTACTGACATGTTTTGGTAGAGGTATTTTGTAAGATTTTTCCCTCTTGCTTATTAGCCACATGCTATTAGTATGGAGATTTAAAGTTGTTTTTTGTTGTTGTTTTTTAATGTTTTTCTTGATTTCAGAGAGGAAGGGAGAGGGAGAGAGAGATAGAAGCATCAATGATAAGAGAGAATCATTGATCGGCTGCCTCCTGCACGCCCCCTACTAGGGACTGAGCCCTCAACTTAGGCACTTGCCCCTGACCGGAATCAAACCTGGGGCCCTTCAGTCAGCAGGCTGATGCTCTATCCACTGAGCCAAACCAGCTAGGGCAGCCAAAGTTGAAGAAGAAACATGTTTATAGTTATTCAGTGATAAATATTTATTGAAAAAGAAAAATAATATAGTCTGTTCTCTACAGTTAGTGAAGTTTGAAAACATACCTAAAAACAATAACATGGCTATTGTTCTGAATTTATGAAGACAGAATAACTAAATTTGAACATAACACATATTTATATATACATATATATATATCTTTTCTACTGAGAATAATTAAGCTCAGCTATTTGGGGGAATCAACCTTTTATAAACTTCTACTTATACATTTTATAAAAATAGTTTAGTTCAATTTTGGTAGTATTTATTGAATACTTGCTAAGATATTGTTGGCCATGTAATATGACTGGGTGATTAAAAACTAGATATCATCCCTGCCCTCATACTCTGATTTTAAAGACCAATACATAAATATAATATAAGACCAAACCTAATTAAGAACTTACACATCCCAGGAACAAATGTCTTTGGTAGGTCAGTAAATAAACAGATCAACTGTATGAGGTAGAAGGTTTTCTACAAATTTTCATCACTTCCTTTTGGCAGAAAGAAGAAAGAAAATAGCTTTTAATCTAAATTATCACTATATGCATTTACCAATGAGAATTTTAATTTCAAATGGATAGTAGTTATGGCATTGGTATATCTCTATAAAAGAAACTATACTTTAGAAATGTGAAGACATTTCAGGAGAAGAAATAGAATAGAATAGAATATTTCTGTGCATACAGACATGTTAATCAGAAAAAGGACTAATTTATAGATCTCTAAAAGCCATTATACAAGGCCATTCTTCACTTTGCAGTTTAGTGTTGAAAGGCTGCAAACTTTCTGTGGTTACTAATCTTGAACCTATTAGTATCTCAGAGCTTTTCATTTCTTTTTTCCTAAATGGATTCTTTGAAAAAAAAATTCTAGAATCTTCTATTTTACTTAATTTCTTTTAATTTCAGCTTCTTCTTTTTTTATCTGTGCAAACACCTTAACTTTTTCAAACTTCAATTAACTTTCTTTTGTAAGAAAAAATAAGTTACTAAGACGTTGTTTTTTGTTTTTACTAGCCTGCAGTCAGCTGTTAGATGAGGCACAAGTGACCTTATCCTTCCAAGACTGGCTGGCCAGTGTCACAGAACGCATCCATCAAACCATGCACTATCAATTTGATGGTAAGTATTGGTCACCCAGCTGGGGCTGTTGCTGAAAGTAGGATAAATTAAAGAAATTGTGCTAGAGTTCTCTGTAGTCTTTTTATTTGTTTTGTTTTTTAAATATTTTTATTGATTTTAGAGAGAGGAAGGGAGAAGATATAGATAGAAACATCAGTGATGAGAGAGAATCATTGATCAGATGTCCCCTGCATGCCCCCTACTGGGGATCAAGCCTGCAAACCAGGCATGTGCCCTTAACTGGAATCGAACCTGGGACCCTTCAGTCCACAGGCTAATGCTCTATCCATTGAGCCAAACAACCAGCGGCTGTTTAGTTTTTTAAAATATATTTTTATTGATTTCAGAGAGGAAGGGAGAGGGAGAGAGAGATAGAAACATCAATGATAAGAGAGAATCATTGATCGGGTGCCTCCTGCATGCCCCCTACTGGGGATCAAGCCTGCAACTGGGGCACATGCCCTAATCGGGAATCAAATCTTGACCTCATAGTTCAAGGGTCAACACTCAACCACTGAGTCACACTGGCTGGGCTAGAGTTCCCTGTGTTGTTGTTTTTTGTTTGTTTGTTTGTTTTAATATATTTTTATTGATTTCAGAGAGAAAGGGAGAAGGAGAGAGAAATGTCAGTGTTGAGAGAGAATCATTGATCAACTGTCTCCTGCATGCCCCTTACTTGGGATTGAGCCTGCAACCTGGGAATATGCCCTTGACTGGAATCGAACCTGGGACCTTTCACTCTGCAGGCCAATGCTCTATCCACTGAGCCAAACTGGCTAGGGTGAATTCTCTGTTCTGACAGAAAAAATAACTGGGCTTGACTCCCAAATACATTGGGTCACAAAAAGTAGAAATCTAAGTGAAAGAAGGAAATACTTACATAATTTAAATGCAGTATCAGCAAAATGAATTTAGAAATGGAAGAGGAAAAACAGCAAATAATAAGTAAAGGTAGATAGCTTTGATCTTGGGAGTATGATCTTTGGTGGTGTTAGCTTGACCTTTGTTCCAAAAAGGCATCTGAACTGTCCTTAAGAGTCTTTCTGGCCCCAGCTGGTTTGGCTCAATGGATAAAGCATCGGCCTGTGGGCTGAAGGGTCCCGGGTTCAATTCCGGTCAAGGGCACATGCCTGGGTTGTGGGCTCGATCCCCAGTAGGGGGCATGCAGGGGACAGCTGATCAATGATTCTCTCTCATCACTGATGTTTCTATCTATATCTTCTCCCTTCCTCTCTGAAATCAATAAAAATATATATATATTTTAAAAAGAGTCTTTCTGTAAGAGATATTCTTTAAGTTGTTTGTTTATCCACGTGGTTTTGGATGTTTTCCCTCTGCTGGGGCTAGGTAGCCCCTTGGACACAGTTTTTTAAGAAAGACTCAGAACTCTTTCAACCCCTCCTTTGAACACTCTGTTGACTTTCGTTGACTTAGTGTCTTGTAAGCTTCTTTAAAGGTTTGTTAAGTATTTTCAAACATTTTCCCTGCCTTTAGATCATATTCAGAGAGCAAGACTGGTGTTTATTAGATAAATAGTCTCCTAATTTTGTGGTCTCTGGCATTCCGGGTCCTGAACATCTGAGAGAGGGCATGTAGTTACTCTGTTTAGACATGAATGCACATACAAGTGCCCGGAGAGAGCAGGAGTAAATCAAGTTTGCCGTCTTATCTCAGCCTCATTGTTTTCATCTCATCTTATTTCATATACCCTTTCAAGGAAAAGTTTGTGTTGTGGTGATGGTTACAAAATTGGGGATTTGAAAAGTTATCCTTGGTGGTATTGATGACAAGGATCTGCTATATTTTTTTATGATTTCAAGGGATCAACAGTAGGGAAGGTGACAATGCTTGACTCATAAAGGCCAACCAAAGCCTTATTTTTTTGCCTTTTTATAAAGAAATCTCTTTATAAAGTGAAATTTTTAATTATTACTGTCCTTCAATTCCATTTCCTCCACCTCTCTCTACACATCAGAAAGTCCACTAAGTTTTTTTTTTGGTTGCACTTTATATGAGTTTCTTCTTTTTTTTTTAAACTTTGAAATAGTTTTATTGGCTCATAAAGCCTGTGCATGTAAAAAAATATCCCAACACTATGTAGTATTTAAATCACAATTACATTTTTTACCAATCAAAACTACCCAGAATATACATTAAAAAAAAAAAATCCTACAGAACAGCCTGGCCAGTATGGCTCAGTGTTTGAGTGTTGACCCATGAACCAAAAAGGCCCCTGTTCGATTCCTGGTCAGGGCACATGCCTGGGTTGCAGGCTCAATCTCCAGTAGGGGGTGTGCAGGAGGCAGCCAATTGATGTCTCTCATCGATGGTTCTATCTCTATCCTTCTCCCTTCCTTTCTCTTTAAAATCAATAAAAACATAGTTATAAAAAAAAATCCTACAGAACTGAATTCTGGAGTGACATTATGATTTAAATACTATGACAACATAGATAATTCCTTATAACATTAATTCATTGACCAAAGCTGCCAGATACTTTCATAAGCCTAGCCATTACAGACTGCAAATGAACACAGTTTCAACATTACACTTTTTTTTAAGTCATATATATATATATTATTGATTTTTTTTTACAGATAGGGAGAGGGATAGAGTTAGAAACATCATGAGAGAGAAACATCGATCAGCTGCCTCCCACACACTCCCCACTGGGTATGTGTCCACAACCAAGGTACATGCTCTTGACCGGAATCGAACCTGGGACCCTTGAGTCCACAGGCCGACGCTCTATCCACTGAGCCAAATCAGTTAGGGCTCAACATTACACTTTTATTTGAAGTAACTGTGCCTCCAACTAGGAGCTCTCAAATTTCTGGCATAAAAATTTGATCTGTTTTAACTGAATGAGTTTCTTCTTATTTCCTAAAGGCAAACCAGAGCCACTGGTGTTCCACATTCCTCAGTCTTTTTTTGATGCCCTACAACAGAGAATATCTATTGGAAGTACAAAAAAACGGCTTCCCAACTCCACCACAGGTATGGGATTTTTTCTTCAGCAATAGCCACAGATGTCTTGTCCTTAGGGAATTATGTTTTAAAAAATCGTGTGGAATTTTCAGGATTAGGACTTCTAGCTGCATGCTGAGAGCATGAAGCCTTAGCCAGTCAGCTCTTAGAATAATGATCACACTCTTCAGTGCAACCCCATATTTATTCCAGTGCAAGTTAATGGAACAATTCAGAAAGCACAGACTTGGTAAAAGAACAATGAAGTGCAATAAATGTGCCCACCAAGAAGTTTGATATTTTCTAGATATTAATCAATTTCAACAAAAGCATTGCAGTCTCCGATCACTATTGGGCTGGCTTCTTGGAAGCATATTACAGTATGTATCAAAACTAAAACTTGCCCAGCCGGTGTGGCTGTATGGTTGACCGTTGACCTATGAACCAGGTCATGGTTTGATACCCAGTCAGGGCACATCCTTAGGTTGCAGGCTCAATCCCCAGTAGGGGGTGTGCAGGAGGCAGCAAATCAATGATTCTCTCATCATTGATGTTTTTTTTCTCTCTCTCTCTCCCTTTCCCTTCTTCTCTGAAATAAAAAATATATTTAAAAACACACACACATTTCCTAAATGGTTAATAAATCTGTTCCTTTTAGGACTCAAAAAAAAACAAAAAAAACACACACACAAAAACACCTAAAACTTATTTTTTTGTGATTCCTAATTTTTGATGAAGGAAGATTTTAGAGTTATTCTTAGGCTTGGAACACTTTATCATTACGTTATTCTGGTACTTAGTTCTTGGTTTTACATAACATCTTTCTATTAGATATCTCAACATACTTATTGGGTAGCAAAAGGAAATAAGGGAGAGAAAGGAGGAAGAAAGAATTACTCAGTAACGACAGCTAGAAATCAAAGCTATTTCTTCAACAAATTGTTATTTGATGAGCCTGGCCAGTGTTGTTCAGTTGTTGAGTGTCGAACTATGAACCAGGAGGTCGTGGTTTGATCCCTGGTCAGGGCACATGCCTGGGTTGTTAGGCTTGATCCCTAGTAGGGGGCGTGCAGGCAGCAGCTAATCAATTATTTGCTCTCATCATTGATGTTTCTATCTCTCTCCCTCTCCCTTCCTCTCTGAAATCAGTAAAAATATATATTTTTAAAAATTATTATTTGATGATTTAATAGGGACTGTGGGACTGTTTGAAGTTTAATTCTGTATTTGAATAATGCAAGCTGTGAATCACTGTGTTTAGAGCCATGAAAATCTTTGTCTTCACAGCTTGTCTTCCTGACTTTTCAAGCAAGGTTGATTCTTCCTTCCATTTTAAACTTTAGGCCTAATACATTAATTTTAACTCATCCCTTAGCTAGTTTTGCAGACTTTCAGTGGAACCTCTTTATAATCCTGCAGGTAGGGCAATGGATTGGCAATCATGTGAGCAGGCTTAAACTCCATGTAATTAAAAATTTAAGGACTGTAATTTGACCTGTGATGATATATCTAAATCTGTAAGAGGTGTAAGAAGTTGTTTTATAATGGAGTTCTGTGCATGTAGCTTTACCAAACAAAAAAACAAGTTTCTAAGGTAACAGAAATAAGTAGCATCTCAAAGAAGCATCAGAGACTTTATATAACAGAAATTTTTATCACTTGGTTTGTCACATTTATGTCAAACCCTATTATATATTTGCCTCTAGAATTTCTTTTTGGAATTTCTGAGATTCCATAAGGAAAGAATAATACTGCACTGAAATCTCTAGAAACTGGGTAACAATAGGGAAAGAGAATGTTATGTTTGGGTAGGCTAATTTTGTTCCCTTTTTACATTGAAGCTTTTGTTCGAAAAGATGCCCTGCCACTGGGAACCTTTTCCAAGTATACCTGGCATATCACTAATATCCTGCAAGTTAAACAAATCTTAGATACCCCTGAGGTAAGAGTTTATTTCTATAATAGTGGGAGGGCCGAGAGGAGAAGAGAGGGAAGCAAGTTTGGGAAGTATGTTTGTACCAATTCCTTGAGTTACAGACACCAAAGAGAATTCTGTTTTTCATATTAAGAAATTATTCAATGTAACATAGAAACCCACAATAGAAACCTGTTCATGTTGACCAGTGTCACCCCAATAAATTTAATAAGTAAAAGATTAAAAAAAGAGATTATTCAGAAATATTCATGGCTTTATAGTGCTGACTCTTAATTTTAATGGGTATTCCCTAGAGCTTGAAAAGGTATCTTAAATTGGAGTATTCTTTTTCTTTGCCTTTGGGATCAGAAAGCAGGAATAATTTTTCCTATATATTAAATAACTGTTGATGGTGAGCCCTAAATTAACTAGAAAATATGTAAATAATTTGAGATGATACACTATTTGTGAAATTAATGGGCCTAGCACAATTAATTGCTCTTCCCCAAACTGCAATTTAGTTCTCATTAGAGAAATGTCCCTCAGTTTGTGTTCTTTTTCACAAGGGAAAGATGAGATATTTTTAAACATTTTTGTCCAGCAGACTCTGAAAGTTTGAGGGTTTTCCCTTCTTACAATAATGGAATATTGTAGAAAATTCAGTATAATGTGATTTGATGTGTTAAGAGAAGCTTAATTTCAAGACATTGTTGTGTTCAGAAGAAGAATAAATTGCTTGGTATCTGTTATGTTCAGAAGAATAAAAGGCCTATGTTAGCACTAAAGACATTTGAGGAACTTCCTTAAATGCAAGATATCGCAGAGGCAGCTTCTATCTTGGAATAAGTGGTGTTTAGGGAGGCAGTGTGCAACCCAAAGCAAAGTCAAGTGAGGGAAAAGAGCTAATGATCATTGAGCTTCTATCTGTTGGGCGTTATTTACCTGTATCACCTCATTCATGTATTTTGCAGATGAGAAACAGGCTATGAGATGCTCACCCTGCTGTTTAGTGGCAAAGACAAAATTCAGTTCAAGTTCTGTCTGGCTCAGTCCCAAGGATGGTGTGAAGCACACAGGATGGTGAGGTCAGCTGTAGGTGCTATCAATAGAGTTTTTAGGAGAATGTTCTAGCAGATAAGTAGGGGAAGGGAAAAAAAACAAATTTAGAGCAAGTCTATGCCAGTAGTGGTCGTATAGACATGAAGATGTTGGGGTTCAAATTGAAGTTATAGAGAAAAAAGGAAAGCCAAGATATGAATGGTATAAGGAAAACAAAGGCAGATTTGTTGACAGAATTTAGTTGAAAATACAAGGGGAAGTTTTAATTAATTTGGATGTGCTTAATGAGGAACAGTGAATACATAAACAATCTATTCTCATCCAAGTATTTGTCTATTTTGAAATTTTTTCTTTCTCACCTTTCTTGGTATTGTCTCCATGTCCAGATGCCCTTGGAAATTACCCGAAGTTTTATCCAGAACCGGGATGGGACGTATGAGCTGTTTAAATGCCCTAAAGTGGAAGTAGAGAGCATAGCAGAAACCTACGGTCGTATAGAAAAACAACCAGTGCTGCGACCCTTGGAACTAAAAACTTTTCTCAAAGTTGGTAAGTGATTGGTGGTTTCAATAGTGCATCTTCCTGTGAAGGTCAACTATGTGCAACACATTGTCCTAGATTTTGGATCTTGACCTTAAACAAAGAAGGCACATTTATTCATCTTGTAAAGGTAATCATGAGATAGGGTATTTCATTTCATTTGAGCCAGGGCTTTAAAAATAAAATTATAGAAGTAATAAGTATTCATTATAGAGAAATCATAGATTTTATAAAGAAGAAAAATAACCACCTGTAATCGCACCCACCAAAAACAGCAACCTTTCCAGACTGTTTTCTATACATGAAGAGTTTCCAGTCTCTTTTCTGTACATGAAGAGTTTCTAAAACATGGGATCATACCTCTTTTCCCTTAAAAATACAGTGTCCTCCCAAAAATGTATACACACTTGGAATAATTATTAATTCCAATCAGCTAAATCTGAAAAGAAAGAAACATAGAGCTATCAGCTGTTAAAGTGTGTATACATTTTTGGGACACCCTGTATATATGTAGGAATATAGTCACAACAATTTGACAAAATAATTATAATGTCTAAGTTTCTCCTAAAAGAATAAGTACACAATTAGGTAAATGAATGAGGCCTGCTTGATAGATGGTAATACTAAAGTAATTTAAATTATGGCTGGCATTCATTCATTCATTCTTCATTTAACAAGTCTTTATTGAGTGCCTACTATGAACCAGGCACTATGCTATCTTGGGGTACAGTGATGAACAAAAGTGATATAGTTTACTGTCCTGGAAAAGATGATAGTCTAATCAGTGGAAAGAGAGGTGAGTATTAGATGGCTAGAAGTGTAGGCTCTGGAGTCCAAAACTGCCTGGAGTTAAAGTCAGGTCCACCTACTAGTTGTGTAAACTAAGCAGGAAGACTTCATCTGTCCTCACCTCAGTTTATTCATCTGTAAATAGGAATCACAGAATCTGTCTCTTAGTTAGTTGCTGAGCATTAAATTAATGCATTGTAAATCACTTAAGATATTACCTGGCACAGTAGGTGCTCATTAAGTGCTACTTGTTATAGTTGTAATTATTAAATTACTAGAGGCCCGATGCATGAAATTCGTGCAAGAGTAGGCCTTCCTTCCCCAGCTGCTGGCACCGGCTTCCCTTGGCACCCAGAGCCTGGGCTTCTCTCTGGCCACAGGCAGGTACCCGGGACCCGGGCTTCCCTCGCAGCCCCAGCTTCGTCCAGAAGGATGTCCAGTCTAATTAGCATATTATGCTTTTATTATTATAGATTATACAAATACTAGAGGCCAGATGCACGAAATTCGTGCAAGAGTAGGCCTTACTTCCCCCTGCTGCCGGCACTGGTTTCCCTCTGGCACCCGGGAACCAGGCTTCCCTCCGGCCGCCGGCAGGCACCCAGGACCTGGGCTTTCCTCGCAGCTCCGGCTTCATCTGATAGGTCGTCCGGAAGGACGTCTGGTCTAATTAGCATATTACACTTTTATTATTATAGATGATAGTATTTATATAGTACTATAAAAATGTTTTTAAAAATATATTTTTATTGATTTCAGAAAGAGAGGAAGAGGAAGAGAAAGAGAGAGATAGAAGCATGAATGATGAGAGAGAATCATTGATCGGCTGTGGAGATCGAGCCTGCAACCCAGGCATGTGCCCTTGACCGGAATCGAACCCGGGACCCTACAGTCCACAGGCCGACGCTCTATCCACTGAGCCAAACAGGTTAGGGCTATAAAAATGTTTTTATTTAGCTGAGACCGGTTTGGCTCAGTGGATAGATCGTCGGCCTGCGGACTGAAAGGTCCCAGGTTCGATTCCGGTCAAGGGCATGTACCTTGGTTGTGGGCACATCCCCAGTGGGAGATGTGCAGGAGGCAGCTGATCGATGTTTCTCTCTCATCGACCTGGGCTTTCGCAGCTCCGGCTTCATCTGATAGGTCGTCCGGAAGGACGTCTGGTCTAATTAGCATATTACACTTTTATTATTATAGATGATAGTATTTATATAGTACTATAAAAATGTTTTTAAAAATATATTTTTATTGATTTCAGAAAGAGAGGAAGAGGAAGAGAAAGAGAGAGATAGAAGCATGAATGATGAGAGAGAATCATTGATCGGCTGTGGAGATCGAGCCTGCAACCCAGGCATGTGCCCTTGACCGGAATCGAACCCGGGACCCTACAGTCCACAGGCCGACGCTCTATCCACTGAGCCAAACAGGTTAGGGCTATAAAAATGTTTTTATTTAGCTGAGACCGGTTTGGCTCAGTGGATAGATCGTCGGCCTGCGGACTGAAAGGTCCCAGGTTCGATTCCGGTCAAGGGCATGTACCTTGGTTGTGGGCACATCCCCAGTGGGAGATGTGCAGGAGGCAGCTGATCGATGTTTCTCTCTCATCGATGTTTCTAGCTCTCTATCTCTCTCCCTTCCTCTCTGTAAAAAATCAATAAAATATATTTAAAAAAAAATACACAATGATAGTACATGGAAATGATTAGGAACGTGTAAGAAACACTTATAGTACAAGTAAGTATAGCCATACTATCTTTTTGGCCGTGTTCAAGCACAGAGATTAGAGGTAGAAAGCAGTGAAATCACGAGAATACTTTTAATGTTTACAATTCCGGCTAATTTACTTGGCGTTTTTCCGAAGAAAGTTCTTTCAAACATTAAGAATTGCATATATAGAGCTTAGAATTTGTGTATAAAGCCTTTAAATGAAGAGAATACTCTTCTTGTTTACAATTGTAGGTGAATTGGCTGGAGTTTTTTGAATAAAACAGTTTAAATCCTGTAGATTCATGTATATATTTCTAAGAAAACTGTCTCATTTTGGTAAAACTCTTAAAATACACAATGATAGCACATGGAAATGATTAGGAACGTGTAAGAAACACTTGTAATACAAGTAAATATAGGAGGCAGCTAATCAATGATTCTTTCTCATCATTGATGTTTCTATCTTTCTCTCTCTCTCCCTTCCTCTCTGAAATCAATAAAAATATATATTTTAAAAAATAGACAGAGAGCCCATAATTATCACTAATCGACTATATGAATTTGAGCTAGTAGAAATGTCACTTATTTAAAATAAAGTCTTACATAGCTTTAAAATGAATCATGTAATTAAGTCTTTTTTAAAAATATTTTTTTATTTTCTTTTAAGGCATCAACCTTAAAGTCAGATATTTCTCCAGCAAAATGGGTTTATTTGGAAACAGCAAAGTATTGCAGTTCAGGACCTGCAAACCATGTGCAAGTCCAGAGAACAAAAGGGAGGAACTCTTCTTTTATAGAGGAAAGGGGTCTGTTTAAAGGAGATTGTTATGAACAGTGAGTTCATTGGAGAAAATGGGGAGTTCAAAGTGTAATGGCCATATATATATATATATATATATATGTGTGTGTGTTTTTTTCTATTGATTTTCAGAGAGGAAGGGAGAGGGAGAGATAGAAACATCAGTGATGAGAGAGAATTATTGATCGGCTGCCTCCTGCAGGCCCCACACAGGTTGAGCCCACCGGGGTATGTGCCCTGACCGGGAATCAAACTGTGACCTCCTGGTTCATAGGTTGACTCTCAACCACTGAGCTACACCAGTTGGGCTTTTTTAAAACTTGATTTTAGAGAGAGTAAGGGAGAGAGTTGCCTCTTGTACACACCCCAACCAGGAATTGAACTCACCACCTTTTGGTGTATGGGACAGTGCTCCAACTAAACCACCCTGCCAGGACTATTTTTTACTAGTCTCCCTTTTAATCTCATCCAGCTGTCCTTTCCTCTCAGTCTGGGCTCGCCTTTTGATTCTTTTGGCCCTTTTTCTTACATATCGGTCTTATTTTCTTCAAGGATGCCACACAGTTCCCTGAAATTTTCTTTTGAATAGATACAGTAATTCCTCTTACTTTCCCTTGATTCTTGTTGTTTTTCCTTGTTATTTTTTTCTCATATAGCTTTTTTTAAAGCTAATTTTTCTTTTCCTTTTTTATTCCCGAACAGAGTGAGATCTGTCTAGACTCAAAATTTGGAATTGTACTAATCAGTGTTCCTTTCTTGGTCTTTTTTTGTCTTCAGGCAACACTTCCCCAGATCAAAAGGAGCCAACCCCTTTCATCATTGAGTGGATCCCAGATATCCTTCCCCAGTCCAAGATTGGCGAGCTGCGGATCAAGTTTGAGTATGGTCACCACCGGAATGGGCATGTGGCAGAGTACCAAGACCAGCGCCCCTCCCTGGACCAGCCCTTGGAACTGGCCCCTCTGACCACCATCACTTTCCCTTGAGGCAAAACAATGGAAACTTTTGCTGCTGAATTTGCACATCCCCATCCCTTGACAAGTTTAAATACCAGTTAGGTCCTTCGTGAACTGCTTTTAACTAAGATGCAATTTCTTAACACATCCAAGTGGATTCTGTTGAAGAAAAACTCTGTAAATGGCCTTGTTGGTGCTGCTGTGTATAGTCCTCATTATAGATGGGCTGGTATTTCTGGCTAGCGTGTTTAATGGAACAAAAAGAAAACTAGCTCATTTTCCTTCTTAAAGGATTCACCTTTATAGTTTGTCTCAACCTTTGAAGTAGTTAGCAACACTCCACCTTACACTAACAATGTTGAAACGTTAATAACATCCTGGTTCGGAAGAATGTTAGGGACCATTCTGGCAGAGCTCCAGTCATGCCCTTTTATTCTGTTATCAAATAAAGCACAGTGTCATTAGTTTTTCTAAATTATACCTCATGTTGGCCTGATTTTAAAATTATGAACCTTTGGGATGAATTTAGATTACAGTGAAATAGGAAAAAGATGTCCAGGTATCAAGGGAATATTGACAAGTCAAACTAATGCTTGTATTTATTTCCTTCTTTCTTCTTGAAAAAGTGTAACAACTGGTAAAATTCATTTCCTATTTCTGAGTTCATTGACCACAGAATGGAGACATGAGAGACACAGAAGTGGAAGCCTGTTTTCAAGGAGAAAGGGGAATGAACATTTCCTATATAACTACTATGTGCCAGGTACTTTTATTTGCATTCCTACCTAATTACTTTTCTCATTTAGTCTTCATTATCCTTTGAGTTTTAGGTATTTACCCCTTCTTTTATAAAATTAAAGGAACAACCTCTCTGAGGTTAAATATCTTGCTTGAAACGGCATTAAAAATGTTTTGTTTTACTCCAAAATACATATTATTTCCACAATTTATCACATTCCTTTGTATCTATTCCTTATAATTCATTGACCTTGGGAAAACAAGAAAAATCCATATGAAGTAATCTCTTGGTTTTCTTTTGATTTCAAATAACAAAAACCCAACTCTAATCAGTTTAGGCAAAAATAGGAATGAATGACTAGTTCATGGACACTAAAATAGGGCTGGACAACCAACTGGGATATAGGTAGGCTTCTGAGCCAGGCTCCATCTGACCCATCTTTGTCCCTGCTGGAGCTTCTGGTAGGATTCTGGCTCCTGACATGCCTGAAAGTATGGCTTTAATGTTAGAGCAGGACTGACTGCTCTACTCTCCCTGATCCAAAGGGCAAAACCTCCCAAGAAATGGAGTTGGCCTGATTTTGAGGGGATGGTGGGAGATAGCTTCTTTTTTTGTAATCCTCACCCTAGGATTTTTTTTCCTATTGATTTTTAGAGAGAGTGGAAGGGATGGTGGGAGGGGGAGAGAGAGACAGAGAGAGAGAAGCATCAATGTGAGGGAGGCACATCAATTGGTTGTCTCTGGAACACAGGATCAAACCTGCAACCCAGGTACATGCCCTTGACCAGGAATTGAACCCATGACCCTTCGGTGCACAGGCCAGCACTCTAACCACTGACCCACCCTGGCCAGGGTGGGAGGTGAGAATTTTTGGTAAAGCGGGTAGCTGTGCCCCTAAAAGAGGGGGATAGGTAGGCAATTTAACTGTTGTCTAGCTTGTATGACTGAGGACCAGGCTTATGTGGAGAGCTCCCAAGTGTTTCAAATAGTAGGGTAAATCCTTGAGAATCCAGGGAAGTCCACAGAGAACTTAGAACTTGCACTGGGCTTTAAGGAGAGGAAAGGTGGACAGGTATGTGGAGAAGAGGAGAAATTAAAAACTAGGTTAGGCAGAAAGGCTGCCTGAAAAGCAAGAACACTCAAAGAAATATGGTGGTTGGCCCATTCTGAGAACTCTTTCAACATAACTTTGAGGACATTGATCACAGCCTTTTGACCAAGATTGCAAACTGTGTATATGATAGACTTGAATGACAGGCAAATGCCTGGGTCTAGCAATACTTGACTGACTCAGGAGAACCACAGAGGCCATAAAATACATGGCTGAGGCAAATTATCCACCCAAAGAGGCCCCCATTCAAGTGCTAAGGTCTTCACTCAAGATCACCTCAGCCCATCAATATCTGGAATGGGGTTCAGTTACATTGACCACTTTTTCTAACTTGACACCCTTTCTATCAGGAGTACCAGTAGGACCTCTGCACCCGCTCTGTCTAGATACCTCTGGGACACTATCAGCATTGACCTTCCTTCAGACTCACCCCATACTCTATCAGAACAGTGCTCTTCAAACCTTGCAGCCAACTGCTTTCCCATCCATCCACACTCGCATCTATACCATCCATTTACACACCTCTTTTTAAAAATATATATATATTATTGATTTTTTACAGAGAGAAAGGGAGAGGGATAGAGAGTTAGAAACATCAAGATGAGAAACATCAATCAGCTGCCTCCTGCACACCCCTCACTGGGAATACGCCCGCAACCAAGGTACATGCCCTTGACTGGAATCGAACCTGGGACCCTTCAGTTCACAGGCCGACGCTCTATCCACTGAGCCAAACCGGTTAGGGCTGCACACCTCTTTCATAGTCATTGGAATCTGCCATCTCTACAGACTGCCCATCTGCTGCCTTTCAACACTGCAGCCACCATTTATATTTCTGGAGTGAATAGCTCAAAATCTTCCATGTCCGCACAGCCACCTGTCTATTGCACAGCTTGATCATACTCAGACTGAGTGTATTATTGGTTCTGAGAGGGATGCTGCTTTAACTGCTCCTCCAGGCAACATTGGGCCCCTAACATTGTGGGCATAATGACAACAACTTGCTACTCCACCCAGAACGTTTTGGTTCTAACCTGTCATGTCCCTGTGTCTTATCAGAACTGCTTGCTAGTATTTAGAGGAGTGATAGGCAGGAGACCTCCAGAAAATCTGACTCCAAGAACTACAGGCCTGCCACCTGGCTCTCTCAGGGTATTGGATGTCATTAGCCCTGTAGCCTTCCGGGCCCAGCAATTCCCAGTCACATAAGTCCACCCCATCTTTCACTGATTTCTATGTCTGTCTGCCAATAACCTGCCCTTTCCTCTAGCCTACATGTGCATACATATACATGCACACACATCACACACACAAGCCCCCTGCCCTGGCTACTTAACAGATTGCAAACTGTGTATATGATAGGAGAACCCAGCACTGTTCTGTCAGTGCCAGGTTCTATGTCAGAAAGCCCAGAACTTTCCTCCACTAGAACCCAGGGAAAGACCTCTCTTTCTGCTAAAAGTGAGGAAATGGGCAGGGGCTGCCCTCCTCTAGTCCTTTGAGTGAACCGGACCCTCTCAATCATAAGACACAGACACACACACACACACACACACACACACACACACACACCCAGAACAGCTCTTGTGTTTGGTGAATTTTCCCAAAATGGACCTGCATACTCCAACCTATTTCTCTTTTCTTTTTTTCTCCCAGATTCTGATTTCCTAGTTTTCCTCCTTTGCATCTTGTGGTATTTTCTGATACTCCTAATTTGATATTCTTGTTAAATCTCCTTCTAGACTTTGTTCCCTGTCTGCTTGCCTTCCCATCCTCCAGATCTTATTACCATCCCACCTGCCTCACCAAGGGAGAATGACTTGTTTTACAACAATGCTTTAATGTGCATAGGAATCACCCAGGAATTTAGTGAGAATACATATTCTGATTCAGAAGTTCTAGAGTGGGGTCCAAGATTCTCTATTTGTATCATCAAGCTGGATGCAGAAAGTACTGAACGGTACAGATGCTGCTAGACTACAGACTGCACTTTGAGTAGAAAGACTGACCGCCTTTCATTGCCACTAATGGGGGCAGGGCTGGAGGTCAATGGCCCCAAATAGTTGCTGCTAGCTAGCACATAGCTGTTTCAAGGCAGTGTATTAGTGTGAGCTGCTTTGTGGCATGCTCCCACAAAGTTGCTCCTACTGATGGAGGCACTAGTCTTGCTCCTCCAATCTAGTTATAGCTCCACAGCCCCAGAAGTAGACAGTGGGTATATAGCCATATGCCTTCCCTGTGGTTTTTCTGCCTTCTCCCCAGCACACATTTTCCATTGTCCTCCCCAGGGACCCACCATCCTAAAGTTTCAGATTTGAAGCCCTGGGTTCAAACCCCCACTATGCCACCTGATTAATCCTCTGAGCCCGTTTTCTCACCTGGATCATGTGCATAGTGAACAGGACACTGATTGAAAAACGCTCATTAAATAAGTAACCATTACACTTTCGCCTATTATTTGCACTCCTTCCTCTCTATCGTGTTTTTCTAACTTAGCCTTGAGGCTCTAATGGTGCTTTGTCCATCCTTGAGAATTATTTTAAAAAAATACATTTTTATTGATTTCAGAGAGGAATGGAGAGGGAGATGGGAACATCAATGATAAGAATGAATCATTGATTGGCTGCCTCAACCCTTAACTGGAATCAAACTTCAGTCTGCAAGCCAACTCTCTAACCATTGAGCCAAACCAGGTAGGGCAATACTTGCGAATATTTTTGTACCTAATACCACTGTTATACAGTAAGATCACAATTTTGTTTAACGCAAAAGAAGAAAAAAGTAAACATGAAGGGAGAGGTGCTGGTATTCATTTTCTTCATCTCCCTAAATTTCCTATAATGAACACTTACTTTGGTAAATTCGAAAAATGGCAAGGTTACAACCACAAAAGAAGGGGCATACAAATCGAGCTTCCATACTCTACTGAAAGGAGAAAAACAGACGGGGACCGCCGCGGCTGGGAGGTGGTCACGCGGCTCTCGCCCCTCGCCTCCGCGAGATGACGTCAGTCACGTCCTCTCGCGTGCGCCGCCGCTCCCGGCCAGC